TCATTGAGATTTGAAAGACAAAGATGCAATTGTTACCATTGGTAAATAAAATGACTATCCATCTAGAATATCCAAAAATATCACCTTAAAACCACTGAATCTAACGTAAGAGTTTAACATAGTGTGGGTATAAAACAAACATACACAAATTATTTTCTTATACACAATAATAATGAATTAAAATATAATAGGGCCAAGTGTGGTGGCTCATACCTGTAATCCTAGTACTTTGGGAGACCGACTTGGGAGGATGCTTGAGGCCAGGAGTTTGAGACCAGCCGAACAACATATAGAGCCTCCGTCTCTACAAAAAAATACAAAAATTAGCCAGGTATGTTGACACATACCTGTAGTCCCAGCTACCCGGGAGGCTGAGGCAGGAGGATCGCTTGAGCCCAGGAGTTTGAGTCTGCAGTGAGCTATGATGATATGAAGATGCCACACTTCCAAGCCTGGGCAACAGAGCAAGACTCTCTCTTTCTTCACCCCCTAAGCCCATGTGTGTGTGTGTTTGTGTGTGTTTTTGTATGTATATATATAGAGAAAAAAAAGAATCTTATTCATAATAGCAACAAAAACTGTAAAATACCAAGAAATAAACCTAAAGAAAAAAATGCAAGACTTTCATGGAGAAAACTATAAAGTTTAATGAGAGAAACAGAGGAAGCTCTGAAGAAATAAATATACATGTTTTATAGACAGGAAAGTATTATCAACATGTCAATTCTTACCAAACAAATCTATAAATTCAATGCAATCACAATAAACATCAGAATTTTTCTTAGAACCTGACCTTGGAGTTTTATAATTCTAAAATTCCAAGTCACTGCAATATTGGTGGAAGAAGAGAAAAACAGATTAATGGAACAGATCCATGGGTATGCTCAAAATAGCATTTTGAATCAATGGGAAAAGAATAACTCAATGATATTAGCACAATTAGCTAACCATTTAGAAAAATATTAAATTAAATTTCTATCTAATCCAATTTATTAAAATATAAAGGAATTAAAAGTTACAGAATAAAAAGCACAACAATAAAAATATTAGAAAAATGATATTGTATTGACAATCTTAGGAGCAGGAAGGCTTTGTCAGTTTCTTAGGGCTACTGCAATAAATTGTCACAAACTGAGTGGCTTAAAACAATAGAAATTTATTCTTTCACAGTCTGGAGGCCAGAAGTCCTAAATCAAGGTGTCAGCAGGGTTGATTCCTTCTGGAAGCTCTGAGGGACAATCCATTCCATGCCTTTCTCCTAGCTTCTGATAGCTGCTGGCAAACCCTGGTGTTCATTGGCTTGTAAATGTGTCACTCTTGTCTCTCCTTGGGTCTTCACATGGCTGCCTTCCTTCTCTCTATATATGTTGTCTCCTCTTCCTATAGGGACACTTGTCGTTAGATTTAGGGTCCAGTCGGGAAATCTGACTGGATCTCATCTCCACATCCTTAATTACATCTGCAAAGATCTTTTTTCCAAATAAGGTCACATTTACAGTTTCCAGGTGGACATATCTTCTTTTGAGGGGGCACTGATCAACCCACTACAAAAGTCTTCTAAATTAAGATAAAAGGGAAAAGACTCATACATTTGACTTCATTAAAAATAAAAGGTATATGAAAAAAAGACATCACAAGTAATTTTAATAGACAAACCACTTATGAAAAAACATGTGTAATATTCTTTTAGACAAAATTAAAATCCAGAATATATAATTTTTAAAAATTTCTATAACTCAATAAGAAAAAGACAACTCAGTAGAGAAATCACTAAGTATATGAACAGTTATGAACCAGAAAAGGAAATAAAACAAATAAACGATATAAATAAACACAAATTAAATAAAACAAACTTAAAAAGATGCTCAATGATATTAGTATTCAGGGAAATTAAAATAAAAATATAATATCATTTTGCATCCATAAGATTGATTAAAATTAAAGTTTAATAATATCAAGTACTGATAAGGATGGGGGAAATGGGGACATTCATATACTGCTGGTTGGTGCAAATAGTTTCAATGGCTTTTTGGCTATATCAAAATTTTAAATGCCTATTTCCAAAACCTGTATGTATTCACAAGAAAACATATATGTATGTCCACTGAAGTACTATTGTCAAGAGCTCTAACCTGGAGACAAACTAAATGCTCATCAATAGAGAAATGCCTACTTATAAGCCATGGTGTATGAGAGATCTCATGTAATAACAGAACTAGATCTCCATGACATTGTTTAGGATGGACAAAGCAATTTGCAAAACTGTAGGTACTGTATAATAATAATATAGTTTATATTAAAAGAATACACAGAAAAGGACACTTCATATTTTATATGCATTTCTACATATACATGTAAATTCATTAAAAAAATTCTGGAAGGATACAAACCAATTCAGTAATGGTTTGTTTACCCCCCTTTGGAAGGGAAATAGAGGGGACTGTCATAGAAGGTGATAGACACATGGAACTTTATCTGTAATATTTTAACTTTGTTCATGGAAAATGCATTCATATATTATTGTATACTTTAAAAAAATAATGTTTAGAGAGAGTTAATGGGAAATGATGGAAAGGCAATAGTCTATGAGCTATTTTCTTCAAGAAATGAAATAAAAGAATTATTAATAATAAGAGAACAGCTAGGAAACTATGAGATATCTACTAGCGAGAAGATTAATGTAGGTATTAATATAAAACATAAAACCATGAAAAATACTTATCCAATGTGAGCTTTTAGAATTTTTGGATTTTTAAAAATTAGTATGATTAAAACCTCCAGGTAATTTAAAGGGGCAACAATAAAATGCTCCCAGGAACTTGGAAGTAAAATTTTATTTGAGAGTTAAACAATAACTCTCAAATAAATGTACAATGAATGTAAAATGAATCAAATAGAAAAATCACCTTCAAGAAATATAATGGCTTCCAGACTGACAAGACTTGCCTATAATGTGGCTGACAATTTTGATATTTCTAAAGAAAGAATGTGTCAGTGAGCCATGGAGACATAGATAAGTGAGTCAGTGGAGCCAACATGGGCAGAGCAGACTCATCAGTTACTTAATTTTCATGTGCCCTAGTTTCTCCATCTCTAAAATGGAGTTAATAATATTGTCTACTTCATAGGACTATTGTATAAAACAAAATAGCACCTAGTAAGTAATGAGGCTCACACATTATTAAAGGGAGGGAATGTGGTAGTCAGGTCAATATAAACTGTGTCACAGTTTTTTTTCTCTTATCAATCAGCATTCTGGTTTTCATACATGAGGCTCGTATGAAGTAATCAACAGGAATCAGCCTCCTAAGTCTGACCAGTTCTTGGACACTGAGATCAAGTTTCTGAGACTGCAAAACTGAGGGCTCAGACTGAACTAAGGTTAAGAGCACCAAGGCAATGCCATCCAGCAAGGCCTCTTGATAGCCTGCCAGCTATCTTTGCTAGTAACAGCCTACTTCTGGCATATTTAATCTAGTCATACTTCCAAACAACTTGGGGAGGGAGGGGAAGGTCTCTGCAGAAGGAATAAAAAGACTAGAAAAAAAATTAATTAAAATAGTAACAGGTGGCTGTTTAAAGAAATTTATGGGGTGATTTTAATATTTTCTTTGTTTTATTTTCTATACTTTTTAAATTTTCTTCAGTGATCGTTTATCACTTTAATACTTTGTAAACATGTTTAAATGATGGTGAGGTGAAAAAAAGAGGGCAGTAGCTTGAAGGGTACAAGGGTAGAGAAAAGGCTTCTGAGGCTACAGGCTGAGGGGAAAGATGTCAGGGAGTTGGGGCAGAGCAGGAATGATCAAGTGCCTTTTCCTCCAAAATGAACTTGCTTTCTCTGGTAACCCGTTTCTCCCCCTGTACGACAAGGTCTTGAAGTTATTTGCTAGTCATTGTATTTGTGTAACTAATGACTGCAATGGAAAGTATTCTCTAGAGAATTCTAAGTGTGTCACTGTATCCCTTACTGGCTTTTGAAACTGAAAGTCCAGGATCTGAGTTCTTGAGCATTCCTCCTTCTTCATCATCATCATCATCACCACCGAGTTTACTATTCAGCTCCTAGGTGCCTGGCTCTGTGCTAAAGTGAGCGGAGTGGGGGTGGGGGTGGGGGGAAGGACCGGGAGTGGTGGAACGGAGGGAGCTTATGAGGAGAGATAAAAGAAAATGCAAAATCACGGTGGCCTGGGTGAGATGGCTAGGGAAGGCTTAGAACTTGAAAGGTCAATCGGTCTAACTCTCTTATCCCGTGATTCAGAGAGTAGGTGGTATGTAAGCTGAGCCTTGAGAGGAGAGCAGGGGTTTGAACAAGCAGAGAGCAAGAGGTGGGGGTAGGGGGGACAGTCGATGGAGGGAGCAAAGGCACTGGGGCTGGAGCCACCTCGCGGGCTGCGACCTGAAGCTAGTGATAAGCTTCTTTTCCAGCCTCCTTTCCCCTTTATTTTAAGCTGAGTCTTTTTTGCCTCAGCCTTGTGACCTACGTGCACATGAGGGAGGCTTTCTAAAGCCATTACAGGATCTCCTCCTGCTCAAGTCCTGCCAAGGCCGCCCTCAAGTGCTGGGACACTGGCTTCCTGGGAGCGCACCGCTGCCTCCTCCTTCCCAAGCCCCTGACTCGCCAGTTTCTAAGGAATAAAGTACCTGAGGGAGTTTGTCCTTGCTTGGTTTGAGTGGGGTGAGGCGTTTCATCTGAGCTTTTAATCAAAATCTAAAATATAAAATATAATTAAGACTCGGAAATCCAATTCTTTAAACCTTAAACGCAAACGCGTCTTTCCTTTCAGTTTTGAAGTTGACCATGGCTCCCTAAAACTAGCCCCGCAGAAAAGAGAACAGCCTCTTCCACATCCCGTGTGCACAGCAAGTGTAGAAAACCTAGTCATTTGAGGTGTCTCAAAAATAAACCTCGGAAAGCACTTTGCCTACGGCGACACATTCTCGGCCGCGGGGCCCAGCGCGCAGCTGCCAGGACCCGGCGCGCCCGCCCCGCCTCCCGCTCGCGTCTCCTGGCAAGGTGGAGGCGGCGCCGCGGCCGGTGACCTGTTGGCGGCTGCCGTTCGGAGGGTCTGGGCCGCAGCGGTCTCCGGGAATTGAGCCGGAGGATGCAGGAGCCACACGCGGAAGCTGGACCGGACTAAGGGGGGCACCGAGCGGTGACGGGGGCGCTGCGGCGGGGCCCTAGACCTCGAGAGGCTCGGGCCCGCGCCGGCGTGTGGTGGGCCCCGGAGGCCGCTGGGGCCGCGAGCGGTGGCAGGGCTCTGCCGGGCCTGGCGCTCCGGCCTCTCTCACAAGCGAGGGTGGAGCTGCGTTGGAGCCTCGTTTCTCAGGCACTGAGGGCGGCACCGGGGCTGTTTCTCTGAGGGGATTAGAAACGCGGCGCGATGAGGAGCCGGAGTAACTCGGGAGTCCGGCTGGACGGCTATGCTCGCCTGGTACATCAGACCATCCTGTGCCACCAGGTAAGTGTAGGGGTGTCGCCTGTAATCGCCAAGGATGGAGTGTGATATCCTGGACGGAAACCCTGGGCGAACTCCCGAGTGTGTGATGTGTGTGTGTGTGTGTGTGTGTGTGTGTGTGTGTGTGTGTGTGTGTGTCTGTGTGTCTGTCTGTCTGTCTGTAGCAGGTTCTCCCACCCCCTAGCTGGGGAGGCCCTACGGGACCCTGAAGGAAAGGTTGAGTCTGGAACACAACCAGAGTCAGTCACTGTTAGCCCTGAACCCCTTAGCCATGGCTTCGGTGCGCCCCCCCTCCCCCCCTCGCCCCTGCCAGCTGGGTTCCGGTGACAAAGTTGCAAGATGTGTTGACACTTGTTTATTAACACCCCCGCACCACGAATTTAGGAGTCTTCTCCTTCCCCTCCCTCCGCAAAAAGAGGTAGGGGACCATTTATCTTACGCCTAGACTATTGTGAAGATTGGAGGCCCTTTGTATGCACCGTTAATTATATTTTTTCTACTCCTTTACTGCTGGTTTTTCATTAATAGTTCATTTTTCTAAGTGGAAAGTTAACACTTTCTTTTAATAATACCCTTTAATTTAATTTAATTTAATAATACCTTTAATTTAATTTAATAATACCTTTAACACATTGACTGCCACACTAGGAAAAAAAATTTTTCCTTGGGGCCACGATGTTTTATTACAAAAATAGAATAAAAACTTCAAAAACAAAACGATCCTAATTTAATGAAAAATTTGTTTTTTTATTGTTTTCTGTGTGTGAGTTATATGCAGCTTGAAAAATAGTTCTCGAGGCTCCCAAGGTGAAGAGACATGAGTTGCATGTGATTCACGAGACCCTGGGTTCAAAACTAGTGTGAGTTAAATACAACTCACATGGCAGTTAATGTGTTAATAATGCCTCTTAGTAATACCCACATTTCGGTCTTGTAAGGTTTCAGCCACCTTTCCCCTTATTCAAGCTAGCATATGCAAAGGGTACAAACTTGCCATTATAAGATGAGTAAGTTCTGGTGATCTAATGTACAGCAGCATGGTGACTGTAGTTAATATTGTATTGTATACTTGAAATTTGCAAGAGAGAATATATCAGGTATTCTCACCACAAAAGAAAGGGTAACTATGTGAGATGGTGGATGTATTAAATAACTTGATTGTAGTAATCATTTCACAATGAATACATATATCAACTTATCATGTTGTACTCCTTAAATATATACAGCTTTTATTTGTTGATTGTACCACAATAAAGCTGGGGGATGGGGTGGGGAAGATAGCATTAGTCTGCAATTGGTCAGAAGAAGAGGAGGTTATAAAACTCAAAAAAGTCCCTAAGAAACTTATTCAGTGGACAGTTTCCTAATATTAACACCCCATGATTACCTGCCTGTCTTCTTTTTCTTGGCCTTGCAGAATCCAGTGACTGGCTTGCTTCCAGCCAGCTATGATCAGAAAGATGCCTGGGTCCGAGATAACGTGTACAGCATCTTGGCTGTGTGGGGTTTGGGCCTGGCCTATCGGAAGAATGCAGACCGGGATGAGGATAAGGCAAAGGCCTATGAACTGGAGCAGGTACTCAGAATAAAAATACAAAGAGATCTGGAGCTGTGTGTTGTTGGGGGTTGGGAGAAAAGCAGGGATTGAAGGAAATGTAACCCACAGAAGCCAAGAGAATTATATTTTGCCTTTCCCTCTTTGTCTTCATCTTCTTGAAATTACATCTCAAAAGGATTTCCTGTATTGTACTGGTGTTTTGTTTGTTTGTTTGTTTGTGTTTTTTTGCAGTGGAAACTTGAAACTTGCTGATTCAGGGGGAGAGGGCACAGTCTGTTCTAATGCAGTGGAAAATTCTATCCTGGAATCATTCCTAAAATTTATAACCCTCTTTCTAAGTAAATGTATTCTACAGTCTCTACTATGTTTATTCTCATTGAGAAAAATGTTTGGGGACAGGTATCTATGATTTTACTTTATTTTTAAAAATGATTCGTGGTATTTGTGTGAGGGTAACTGGCACAAATAAGCAGACCTTCTTGACTAAACACAAGTAAAGACTTTATTTGTTGGTTTTAAGGGGCCACTGTTTCAGAGTCTGTGTCTCCCTGCCCTGGCAAAATGAGGCCAGAGACAACAGATGCCTTTAAGCTTTAAGGAACTTCCCTTCAGTAAATAGACATCCTTTATAGAACTGTTCAGACACACAGAGAGCCACATCCTCTTGAATGACCAAGAATACAATATTCTGTGCTATATGGGATTTTTAATGTTGAAGTATTCAGCTGTCAGTGAATGCTTTTCCATTAGTGGGAAAGATTCTCTTTATACCAGCTGTTTTCTCCAGTGGTCTCCCTCAGATTTAGGCAATCTGAACTCCAGTCTTCATCCATAAATCAGATTATTGAGATTTGATCATATTGCAGGGTTGCAATTCTTGGCATTAAGAAGGTCCCACTGTGTTGTCCTTAGCAACAGCAGACATTTGTTGTTCCTCCACCAAAAAAAAAGTTGTTGGAATTTTTGCTGTAGCCCACGTAGTACAGATCAATATTTTCATGACTTTTGTAAAAATATACCATTGTAGAAATTTGGAAAATATAGAATAATGTTAAAAAATCACCTGTAATCCTACCCATCCCCCAAATTCTACATCCTATTCTTAATGATGTTTTGCTATTTTGATCTCAGTATTTTGTTTGTTGTTTTGTTTGGCTAGAAATCAATATCAATAGAACTGGAATTCCATAAATGGTACAATTTGACCATTTTTTCAATGCCATTAGAAGAAATCTGTTGTCTCCCTGTTTGTCAATAATTCTGCAAAGTTGACATTTTTCCTTATTTGGCCCAGGTAGAAAGAATTTAACAGAGGAAGGGGGGAAAAGTAGGGAAACACTGACTTGCCCATTCTAAAATGTTTTAATGTTCCATTAAATAACTTTTCATGTAGCCCAAAAATATTTTTCATACCACCTCAATAATAACTTTAAAATGTTTCAAAACATTATAGCAATAGAAAACATCTTTCAAAACGAAAAGTTTCTGTGGGAATTCTAAAATTTCTATGAACTTGCATTACAACTTAAAATATATTTTTATTATGTCTCATTAACTTTTTTCCTTAAACCTGATAAAGCATTAATCTAGGCCAGGGGTCAGAAAACTGTTTCTCTAAAGGGCCAGATAGTAAATATTTTACATTTTGTAGATCATATGTGGTCTCTGCCCAACCACTCAGCTCTGTGGTTGTTGTACAAATGCAGCCAGAGACAATATATAAACAATGAACATGATTGTGTTCTAATACAACTTTATTATAAAAATAGCAGTGGACTGAGTTTGTTCCTGTTCTAGATGAGTGGTTCTAGACTCAGATGTTCAATAAATACCTGGATATACATAAACCTGGAGAGAGACAGATTTATACAGATATGGTTGTATACAGGTATATATTCTTATATAATCAGTTCACAGATATATAGATCCGTATCTTCAGAAGAGTAGGTGAGAGGGACTATCACTTGGTTTGGGTAGAAGCCGAATGTATGTGTATAATTAATGCCAGCTAATGTACCTGAATTAAAAAACAGCCAGTTTAGGGGAACACAAAGTACAGATACCTTCTGTCATTCCCACCTCCCTATGCTTCCTATTAATTTTATCCTGACTTAGAAGCTGGAACTTGAGGACAGAAATGGCTGATAAGGCCATTCCAGGAAGACAAAAATAGATAGCAATCAAGAATCCTCCACTGGGTCCTCAATTCCCCAGGTTATCTGTTTAAGTTAAAATTTTGATGGGAGTAGCAGAGCTGTATGGTAACAAGGGTTGATGGGTAGGCAAGAAAGTGACTAAGGCAGTAAAACAGCAAAGAAGCGAATGAAATGAGCTGAGAATGGTATAAAAGTTGAGTCCTGGCCAGGCATAGTGGTTCACGCCTATAATCCTAGCACTCTGGGAGGCCAAGGCAGGAGAATTGCTTGAGGCTAGGAGATTGAGACCAGCCAGAGCAAGAGCAAGACTCTGTCTCTACAAAAAACAAAAATTAGTGGGTGTGGTGGCGTGCACCTGGGCTCCCAGCTACTCTGGAGGCTGAGGCAAGAGGATAGCTTGGAGGCCCTCCATGTTTTTAAAATGAGTTCCTTTGAGCCACTTATTTAAAGAGAAGACTGTTCAAGCCCCTGCCTCTGCTTCCCACTCTAATTCATTGAATGTTGGAAAAGAATGTGGCAGAAACCTTTGAGTATGTGTGACATTTGTCATAATTGAATAAAGTCTCCCCACAAAGGAGGCTATGTTAAATGTTTTCTGTAACAGGATGTATTAAAGGGATGGTCTCTTTCATTTGGAGCGAAGTAATGATAGAGATTTTCTTGTAGGGGTTACAGTTTCATTACTTTATAATCAATGCTTCAGGCTTTAAAATGTGACAAGATCATGCACTGTCCATTCTTTTTATTTTTAGAAAATTTCTTCTTTTGATCTGTAAGGAGAGGGAACCATATATAGATAGGAATGAATTAAGGAAGGGGATTCTCCCAAAGAAGCAATTTTTATTAATATTTTTCCCTCAATAAAAGGCTTTGTAAAGAGTTGGAACATACGTTAATAGGTACTTATCTTTATCATGACTGTTGCTTACAGTTCCATTTGAATATGTTTTGAAAAAATAACAGAATTATATGACTTCCAAGGAGCAGATTAGTTTTCAGAAGTGTCCTGAAGCCACCTCTGAGCCAGCATTCCTGTAGTAACCTGGTTGGATTTCTTCTGAACTGTGAAACAGAAAGCTTCTTAGAGAAATAGACCAATTGTTTAGTACTGTGTTCTTCCAAAACATATTGCCTACCCATGCCACTCTGTATGGGCCCTTCTAATGACATGTAGCATATAGTTGGTGGTCAGAATTTTGAAGTGTTATGATTGGAAAATAAACTGCTTTAGAAATTGTCAAAGCCTAGTAAGAGAAATAGTGATGACTTCAAACTTAAGAATCTGTGTCTTTTTTTTTTTCATGGAGAAAAGGTTGAATCATACTAACAATTCCTCTTTTATATTTATTTGAATTGAAATTTATTCTTTAGGGTAAATGTCTAGATAAATATTTCTATGAACTCTTGAAGTCTTGGCTAGTTTAGAAAAAATAAAAGTAATGCTGTGGTGAAGCCTTACTAGGCCATAGGATGTATTTTATTTTATTTTATTTATTTCAAAGTATTATGGGGCTACAAGTGTTTTTAGATACATGGATCACTTTTGTAATGCTTGAGTCTAGGTTTAAAGTGTGCCCGTCTCCCAGATAGTGTTCATTGTACCCATTAGATAGGTTTTCACCCATCCCTTTCTCCCCTCTACTCCCCATAGGATGTATTTTAGAATATCCTCAGAGCCTTATGATTTTTAAGCTGATTTGCCCCTCTTCTCCAGGTAGAATGTCCTCTACTAGGGTGGTTGGCTTATTTTTACATAAACCTGTTAGAGCTTGGATTATTTTTTTTAACTTGATGGAATCACAAACTGTAGCTTTTGATTCCACTTTTAGCAGCAATCTGCTCTTCTGTGTACCTATAAAGTAAATGCCATGTAACTAGGAACACAGGATAGAGTTACTTGTTCTCAAAAGGTCATGTACCAACTGTGGTTGCTGAGTAAGTGTTCCTGCATCTAGGGATGTTTATAACTGTCTTGTTTCCATTTATTTCTGCAGAGTGTAGTGAAGCTGATGAGGGGGTTGCTGCACTGCATGATCAGACAGGTATGGCATTGGTAACAGCTTCCTCTCTAATAAAAGCACATTGTAATAGTATCTCTACCCCTTAGGGTATGTTTATAGCTTATACATTTTTTTCAATTTCACAAGTAGTATACACTAATTTTAGAAAATTTGGAAAATTGGGGAAAAGTCAACCATAATCTCACCATCCAGTCACCACCAAACTGTTTCCTTCGACTTTTTTTCCCCTCTACAAATGGTTTTTTAAATGTTTCTCATCATTACTATACATACAATTATGTATATTGGGTAAAAGATGATATAAGTCTAAAAACCCTCATTCGAAACCCTTGGGACCAGATCAACTTTAGAATTAAGAATTTTTCAGAGTTTAAAACGGTAATACATTGCATATACCATATATTATCTTATGCCATCATTGGGTATAGGACAGCATTCTGTAATCAAAAACATTAATATCTCTGTAGGGAAATATGTATTTTCGCACTAAGTAGAATAAATAAAGCCAGCCCTATGTCAATTTGAATCTGGCATTGCCACCAAATGAATTTTGATGCAAAGCTTAGGGGGATAAAACGTTTTCAAAGTGTTTTAGATATTAGGATTGGAGATAAGGGACCTTGGACTTGTATCTCCTTGCAATAATAATTTGCATTTTCCTGGCCTTGAGTGAAGTTGAACTTCCTTTCATGTGTAGATTAAAAATTTACATTTCCTCTTGGGTGAATTGTCTGGTAGGTCCTTTGCCTATTTTTCTTTTTAGTTGTTTCCTTGTCGTTTGAGGAGTTTTTATAAATTATGAAAATGAATCTTTTGTCACAGGCATTGCAGTCTATCATTTATCTTTTGAGTTTATGATATTTTTCCATACAAAAGTATTTTTAATTAAAAATTGGTTTTATCCTAGGAGATCTTAAAGCATGTTACACACATTGAATCTGACCTGACTTTCTGATGATCAAGATTAAGTTTTATTAGAAGAAGAAATTGGGGCCTAGGTTAATAAAATGACTGCCCACAGGCACAAAACAAATCTAAAGTAGAAAGAAAGAAACTCCAGACTCCTGAACTTCTTTATAAGTGAAGCTCTAACTGTTGGGCTATCTCACATCTATCATTTCCCTTTTTTCCCTATATTTGCTACTTTTTTGTATTTTAGATATTTGCACTTTCTACCTTACCAAATAGATTTAAAGTCACTAATTGCATGAACCATATTTAAGGTGTAATGGTTACTTCTTGTTAACTGAAGAAAATGGTGAGATTCATAATTTGGAAAGGAGTATTTCTCATAAAGGGTTGCAGCCTGTAGGTGGCCATTCCAGCAGTCTGGAAAGCCAAGCCCCTGGCCATAGGCTGGGAACACGTGCTTCCAGGGATGGACAATGGGAAACTGGAATTTATGCTGAGCAGTGTGGACAAATATACATATTTAACAAGCTGTAGGAGGAGTCATGATTATTTATGAAAGGAAAAACATGCATGTGTGCAATTGAGCTTCATGCCCATTCATCGGTTGCATGTATAAAAATAGAAGCATTAGCATGATCCAAGGGTGGAGTTTTCGGCTCTCTGATGTCAAAAGGTGAAACAGAGGACATGAAAACCCTTATTGTGCATAATCTCTAGTCTGCTTAGAACCACTCCATGGTTGGTAGCCCCTGATCAGGAAAAAATGCTGGTCAGTTGTGCCAGAAAACGCAGAAAGGAGGGAGCAGCATTAGGCCATTAGGCAGTTGATTGAAATCAGGGGTGGAGCAAGTCTTTCTGAAGGGCTGGTTCTGTTTTAGCCCTTAGGGAAGAAAGCCTAATGGTGGTTAACAAGGGAAAGGGTATGAGATGTGTCTGACTTCCCATCCTGTCCTGGCTTGGGACTCAGTTTTAAGGTTTCTCTGGGGTCCACTTGGCCAAGAGGGGGTCCATTCAGTGGGTGGGGTGGGGTGGGGCTTAGGATTTTATTTTCATTTCTCACTATCATGCATCAGAGGCATACATAATCAAATCTAAGTTTCAGGAACTAAGTCTGTCAGTTGTTCCTTGCACAATATTTCCCTTCTGACCTCTGGTTTCAGCCTTCTGTCATATCTTTTCTCAGTCACTCTGTGTGTCTATCACCAGCTCTTTTCGTTATTCCTTCAAAATGTGTCCTTTTGTTCTAATTTCCCTCAAAATTCCTACCTCAGTTTCAGGAACAAATACATCTTTTCACATTTATTTCTTACTAAGCTGTTCTCACTCAAACACTCTGAATCTCAGTTTATATATACAGTGTGGTAAAGCAACTGTCTGAAGAGTGAAAGAAAGGCAATGTATAGGAAATAACTGGCTTTAACTATTTGGTATCATTTTCTAATTAAATTGATTAAATTGAAAAACAACAATAACAGACTTTCCCGGTTGCATTATGTAAGGAAAAAGATAACACTGCATTTAGTATCTTTATATTGCAATGATATATGTTAAAGTACTACAGAAGTGTGGCATATGGATTGATTTTTCTGCATATCCTTCTTTTAATGTTTTTTTTTTTTTCCAGGTGGATAAAGTAGAATCCTTCAAATATAGTCAGAGTACTAAGGATAGCCTCCATGCCAAGTACAACACCAAAACTTGTGCCACTGTAGTGGGTGATGACCAGTGGGGACACCTGCAGCTGGATGCTACCTCGGTGTATCTGCTCTTCTTAGCTCAAATGACTGCCTCAGGTCAGTACAAGGAGAGAAGTACTGGGAGCCCCTGAGCATGGAGCACTTGCTCTGGCACACATGGCTTCTCCAAAGGTATTAGCCAGAAAACCACATAGCTATTTGCATTGCTGAAAGAAGCACATTGGAAACATTTTGCAGATTTTATACAGAAAAACAATTTTTTGAGGTCTAGTTAATATTCTTCTGCACTGAGAAACAAGTCTATGGTACCAATTAATATTATTTTAAATTGAGAACCAGGAAGTCTGCAGCAGATCTTATTTAGATAGGTATTTTTATTGTTAATCCTCAGATAACATGAGATGGGAAAAAAGGCCTAGAGTTTATTGCTGTTCTCATGCTGTACACTGACAAGCCTGCCAGTTAGTATAAATATAAATTGAATCACCTACTTTATACTACTCTTTATGAATATATTATAAACAAGGCATCTGTATATATGCATCTAAATTATATTAAGGAAATTAGGAATCAGAATCCAAATGTTTATTTTTTATTATTGAATAATATATCCTTTTCAGTGGTTTTGTTATTAGTTTGGGATGCTTTCCCTAAAAAATGAAAATGTATTATTTCTCCTAAATTAGGGTGAGAAAGATAATGTATCTGATTATATCTAGTTTATAAATTTAATGGGACCTTTGCCAGATCTTCCTGAGTAAGTTAATGTACTTCCCAAAATACCACATTTTTGACATTTCCATTTATTTATCTTACCATCTGGTTACAGAGCTCCTTGATACTAAGGGCATCCAGGATGGGAATTCCTTTAGAATACTTTTCTTCTCTTTTTCTTACAGAAATATTTGGTGATAAGCCCCCCTTTTCCCCACTAGAACACACAGCCCAGAATCTAAATAAACTTTTCTCAAAATTATGAGCTGGCCACCCAGATACTCCTTCCTTTTGCAGGGGAGGTTTCTCCCTGAATACATATACTTTTAGGCTTTATTTATTTAAATAGAATAACAGCTACAACTCCATTTCTAACACTATTTTAATATCAACTCTGGGATTTTTTCCTATCAAGCAAACAGTGTCTAAATATCCTTTATGGTTTTTTATTTTGAGCCTACAATAGAAAAAAAATACCAAAGAGGCTCATAAGAGACATATTCATTGATTCAACAAATGTTTATTGATTCCTGACTTAACATTTAATTTTCAACTCAATTAGCTGACTTTGATAGCTGCTTGAAATAAGGTGGAAAATCAGGCCTTTGAAGGAATAAGTAGGAATAAGTAGAAATTCACAAGTCGGAAAAAGGAAGGGAATAGCATGAGTGTAGCACAGAAGTTTGAAAGGTATTGGTTATCAAGGTAAGGCTGAGTATCTTCTATGGTTAGAGTATAAGATTCATCTGGAAAAATGGCAAATATGAAGCTAGAAATTTGGGGCTAGCTCTTTGAGGGCCTGTGTACCATGCTAAATAGTTTGGAGTTTAGTCTGTAATCAGTAGCCATTCAAGGTAGTTAATCAAGGAAGTTTCAGATCATTCACTCCATTAGTAGGAGAATAGAGTGCATGGAAGAGAAAATTAAGATGGCAGACTCCTTAGGAGGTTAGTGAAATATTTTATGTAAGGCAGTTACTTTGAAAATAAAAAGGGCAGATGTGAGATATAATTGGTAGATAGAGTGTAAAAGATCTTCGTAGAATATTTAGCAGTGTTCCGCATGGTTTTGAATACTTGAAAATCTCAACCTTGGTTAAAAGGCCTAAATAGAAGCTGACTATAATTTATAGAATGGTAGCATGAAGAGCTCTGCAGACCCTCCCCTAGGAAAACAACCATAAATACTGAAAATTATTTTTAACCCTAACAATATTTGTACCTCCATAATATGATGAAATAAAAGAAAAAAAAAGAAAAAACCAACCATTTAAAGTTATTAGAAATTGTCTGAAGGACAAAGCAAGTAGAGAAACATTTATTCCAGAAATCTTCTTAATCTTGGTAAGAACAGTAAAGGATTGTGGCATTTGAGTCTCAACCTACTCCCTCCTCCACCCCAACTCAGAGTGATAGAAACACTATTCAAGGTGAGTACAGCTGAGAGTACAACTCTCCCCCCTCCCCAGCTTCCAGTATAGGGATACTGTATCTCCCCAAGAGAGGTAGGTTGCCATCCTTTCTCATTCACCCCAGCTCCATATTGCAGAAGCTTTAGTCCAGGCAAGCACAGTTGACAGGCCTGGAGCTCCCTTCTTCCCCATTCCCAGCCCCATTCGTGGAGTGGAAACTTTACCCCAGGCAAGGCAGGGTGAGAATGCTAAGCCCTGATTGTCCTGGGACCACCTCTCTAGTAGGGTGGAGGTTCCACACTGGGAGAGGCAAGCTAAGGAGATCAGAGGCTACCATCTCTGCCCAGCACTCAGTTTGTAAGGCAGGGTTGTCACACCAAAAGAAATAGGCCACTGTTCTCAACATCAGCTCTGGAGTGCTGGCACAGAAATTTTGCTGGGGTGAGAGAGGCTGTAAGAATACAAAGCTCCATAGCTCTTCCCAAGAAAATTGACTGAAACAGATTATGGGAAAGTTCAAGACTAAGAGTATTCTCAGAATACAACAGAGATTTTGGTTCTAAGCAATTAAGAGGAGGCTAGTAGCCTAATAAGAGCAAGAAGCTAAGCTATAGATTAGCTAGAAGTTTTAATAGTGAGAATCAAGCAAAGAGATAGCTAAAAAGAACCTTCCTAGTGTTGGAACAAATCTCAAAGACTTGCCACAAAGACCACATGAAAAGGGGACTGAATTTAATTGGATGAGTCTGTGGAGCAATTTGTGCCTCAGGGCATTACACAAAATAGTAGAGCAAATAGATGGAAATTCGTGCGGCAAGCATCTGAGTATGATGCCAACAGAGGTAGACACTTAACAGATCAGGCAAGAGATAGTCTATGAGGTCTCTGCTAAAATGCTGTCTTCCCAGGGTGACAGTGTACCTACCCAAGGCTACACTCTCTGAGGAACATCAGAGGCTGCATACTGAGGGGAAAATAGACTTCACTGAAATAGTACAGCCAAGTCACTAAATAAACAAAAACAAGCCCAGGAGAGGAGGGTATCAGTATCTAGAGTTCTTACAACATACTGTCTAAAATATCCAGATTTCAACAAAAATTTGTGAGGCATGTAAAGAAACAGGAAGGTATAAGACATACATAAGAAAAAAAGCAGGTAACAGAAACTGCCTTTGAAAGGGCCCATATGTTCAACTTAGGAGACAAAGACTTCAAAATAGTTACTATAAAATGTCCAAAAATCTAAAGGAAACCATGCTTAAAAAAATAAAGGAAGGATGATACGATGAATGTACCTCATCAGATAGACAATAAAAAGATTTTTAAAAAATCAAATGGAAATTCTAGAGCTAAAAACATAGTAACCAAAATGAAAAAAAAGAAAAAATACTAGAGAGGCTTATAATAGACATGAGTTGGCAGAAGAAAGAATCGGAATATGTGAAGGTAAATCAATAGAGCAGGGGTCCTCAAACTTTTTAAACAGGGGGCCAGTTCACTGTCCCTCAGACCATTGGAGAGTGCGCACTGTGGGCCTGGGACAAGTCGGCTGCTAAGCTGCGGCAAAAACACCTGGTGGACTGGATAAATGTCCTAGGCGGGCGGCACGTGGCCTGCGAGCCTTAGTTTGAGAACGCCTGCAATAGAGAATATTCAATCTCAAGGACATAGAGAAAAAATAATAAAGAAAAATGAACATAATGTCCTAGGCGAGCGGCACGTGGCCTGCGAGCCTTAGTTTGAGGACGCCTGCAATAGAGAATATTCAATCTCAAGGACATAGAGAAAAAATAATAAAGAAAAATGAACAGAACCTTGGAGAAATATAGAAAACCATTTAGCACACCACCACACATGTAATGAGAGCACCAGAAATAAGTAAGAAGCAGAAAATATACTGTAAGAAATAATGACTGAAAAGATCCCAGATTTGATTAGAAACATTAATTTACACACCCAAAAATCTCAATAATCTTCCAAGTAGGATAATCACAGAGATCCACACAAAGAAACATTACAGTAAAAATGTTAAAAGCCAAAACAAAGAGAAAATCTTAGAAGTAATACGAGGAAAATGACTTGTCATGCACAAGGGAACCTCAATAAGATTATCAGCTGACTTCTCATGAGAAAAAAATAGAGGCTTCTGAGCCAGTTGGATAATGTATTCAAAGGGCTGGAGAAAAGAACTGTCACCCAAGAAGATAGTATCCAGGAAAACTATCTTTCAGAAATGGAGTGAAATAAAGACATTTCTAGATAAACAAAAACTGAGAGAATTTTTTGCTAGTATGCCAGCCTACCTTAGAAGAAATACTAAAAGTTCTTTAGACTGGAAGCAGGTGAACCCAAACAGTAATTCAAATCCATGTAAAAAAGCAGACCCCAGGTAAAATTGATTATTAATACAATATAATTACATATTTCTTCATTTTTCTTTCAATTGATCTAAAAAAGCAGCTATACAAAACAATATGTTTACAGTTGTATTGTTGGGCCTATAACAAATGTAACATATTTGACAATCATATAACAAAGGAAGTGGGTAAAAACAAAGCTATATTGAAGTAAGGGAATGATACCAGATGGTAATTCAAATCTACAGGAACATATAAAAAAAAACTAGACATGATAAATTAGAAGGTTAATATAACAAACTATAAATATATAATTTTTCCTCAGCTTCTTTAAAAGATATAAAATTATATCAATTTAACAACAATTAGAGACTTTAATACCTCACTTTCAATAATGCATAGAATAAGCATAAAATCAACAAGAAAAAACTTAAATTGACTAGACCTAACACACATCTCTAGAATACTCCATCCAACAACAGCAGAATACATATTCTTCTCATGGACCAGTCTCCAGGATAGACTATATGGTAGGCCATAAAATAAGCCTCAATAAATTTGAAAGATTTCAGAATCACAGAAAGTATGTACTATGACCAAAATGAAATAAAGTT